CAGGCCGTCGCCGCCGCGCCCCCCCCCCGCGCGCCGCGCTCTCCCCTCCCCCGCCCTCCCGGGCCCGGGCCTGCCAGGCCGAGCGTTTACCGTGGGCTGGCGCCGAGGCGCGCGGTCACTGACTGCAGGCGGCGGCAGCTCCGACCTTCCCACGGGCCCGGCGAGGAGGGCGAGGGGGAGGGGAGAGAACTTTTGCTGTGGCAGCTCCGGCGACAGCTCCCACCCCTGCGCCTTTCTCCTCTTCCTCCCCCTCCTCCTCCTCTTCCTCCTTCTCTTCCTCCTCCCAGAGCAGTCGAGAGGCAGACATGGCGCGGCTAGAGCGTCGCCGCGGTCGCCGCTGCTGCCGGCGCGGTGCATTGTGGGAAGCCTCGCACACAGGAAGCGCTCCGGGCTACCCGCCCTCGCCTGGCTGGGAGACCTGGTTGCCAGACCTAGCGCGGCTTTGATTCCAGCGCCTGCGTGTCAGCCCCGCGGAGTGGCCGGGGAAGCTGGGCCGGCGCTGGGGGTCCCCCTGATGGGCCTGAAAGGAAAACGCTTTGAAACAGATCGGAACTGAGAAACCTACTGGGAGGAACGTCCCCTCCTTGAGGCCGGGTGCATGCCTAGCACCCCGAGAAGTGAAAAATGGGGATTAATAGCGGTCTGGGCCCTGGGAAGTGGAAGGGGCGGGGACGTAGATGAAGGGTTTAGCCAGGATTTCTTGGATCTTTCTTTTATTGTCTTACCTAGCCTCTCCTCTTTTTCCGGAAGATGTAACCCTGCACCCTTGAAACTAGAAAACCTGGTTGGAGTCTGCAAACCGCGATGCAGGATGTGGGCACCGAGAAAAAGCAAGAGATCCCAGTCAAGACTTCGTTGGGCCCAAACCTCGGTCTGCATGTCAGCAAAGACTTGGTTATAATCTGTACATACCTAAGATTGCTTAGTTGACCCATCTTTTGGCAGCCCTTTGATGACCTTCACTAAATCACGGCATTTCTTTGGAATGCCCTCTTTAACACCAAGACCCTTAGTTGCCTATACAGTAGAAGGATTTACAGTTACTGACCTTTGTACCCACACATTAGTTCAAGGTCAGCTAGGTGTTCTGTAATGTCGACCGGTCACTGGGAACTTAATGAGAGATGGAGCACCTTCGTTACAATTTCTTCATAACAATCTCAAGGCTTTATTTAGCACCTCTCTGCAAAACTTAAACATAACCTTTGAGGTGAGAGGGAAAGGACATTAAAATATCTACATAACCATTTCTGGAATTCTCTCCTTGTCACTCCCACCTCCCCACCCCTTGAATGTTCATTTGAATAGTGCTTTTTGGCAAAACTCCAAACTCCTGCACTTGTGATGACACTGAATTAGATTACTGTCTGCAAGGTTAATATTCCCTCAGGCATTAACCTTAGTAAATCACGATGCCGTTTGAAGTAGCTGAGGCTCAGAAGTTCAGCTGAATTTAAACAATTAACTAAGAAAAGCAGGGATAGGCCAACAGCTTCACAATAAACTCTCCATGAGCGTTCTCCACTAAAAAAATATAAATTTTAATAAGATGACAGTGCATATTCTGAATGCTAATTGTAACAAAACAGTGATACAAGCTAGAGCAAGGGACAGTTATCTGGAGGACAGCCTTCTGGCAACTTCTAGCAACTGCAATGACATCAAATTCAGATGTATTTTTAAAACGGGGGGGAAAAAAACCCTCTAGCAGCAAAGAAGCTAACTTTCAGGTTTTAAGCTGTGGGGAAGCTAATAACTAGAAAGAACTGAAAGCATGGGGTTACACCCAGTGGACTAAGATGAATAGGGTTGCCACTAGGAATAGATCTAACTCTGTTTCTGAAGATAATTAAGAGACAATGAAGAAACAGCCATCTAAAATGGGCAGAGTGAAGAAGACTATAGACTATGACTTCAAAGTAAGAGTGATTGAAGGCTCTTGATAAGTTATAAACCTCTAGAAATACTTCCTGGTCTTTTTTTTTTTTCATACTGCTGTTTGCTTACCTTCCCAATACCAGTCTCAGCCATTCAGCTTGCTTCCTTTCCATCTTAATTTCTTCTTCCCTGCACTCACCCACTTTAAAACAATAAGGAGAAGAACCCATGTCACAAGCCTTTAATCCCAGCACTCAGGAGGAAGAGGCAGGCGAATCTCTGATTTCAAGTCCAGCCTGGTCTCCAGAGCAAGTTCCAGGACAACCAGGGCTACACAGAAGAAACCCTGTCTGAGATGGCTCAGCATTTCAGAGCACTTGCTGCTCTTTCAGAGAGCCCAAGTTTCCAGAGCACCTGCACAAATATGGCAGATAATACACACAAGCACACAGCATGAATAAAAATAACTGTTTAAAAAAAAAAAAAAGGATCAGCCAGAGGGTTCAGCAGGTGAAGGCACTTGCTTCACAAGACTAGCAACCTGAGCTCCACTATCGCTAAAGGTAGAATCAATTCCCAATTCCACAAAGTTGCCCTCCTTACTTCCACATGGGCACCCCTAATAATAAACTCTAAAAAGGACTGTACACTCATACGAAGTTACAAATACAGGGCAAACAGCTCGTTTATCTCTTCCCCAGCTTCTCCCAATGGTGTGACATTAAACTATGGAGAGACATCAACAGCTACAGATTGACAAGAGCGTGTAACATAACGTCCACAGAACTCGTGAGTATCCATGACCTTTCAATCTATGTACGTCTACACTCATGTTTAGAATTTACCTCTGTCCTGTGTAGGAGCAAGGTCTGTCCCCACATCGAAGACAGAACCACTCCTTACCAGCTTATGGTGCTGCACAACTTTAATCCTAGCATTTAGGAGGCAAAGGCAGGTGGACATACATGAGTTCGAGGCCAGCCTGGTCTACAAGCAAGTTCTAGGACAGGACAGCCAAGGCTACACAAAGAAAACCTGTCTTGAATCAACACCCCCAACCCCCAAAAAAGCAACCACTCTTTGATCACAAAAGAACCCCCTCATATCACTTGTTGTGGTTTGTATGTGTTGACTTAGTACTCGGTGCAGTGGGGTTCAGAGGCAGGGCCCTTGTGAGGTGATTATGTCCTGGGGGCTCTAATCCTAGCAAGGGATTGCTAAAATATCATAGTTTGGCATATTAATGAGAACTAGAGTAGAAACTTTAGGAAGGGAACCTATTTGGACAAAGCAGGTTCTGTGCCCTTGAAGGGCATGTTTTATCCCTGGACACAACCCTCCTCTCCCCTCTGCAGCCACCATGAGCTGAGCAGCTCGCTCTACCACTTGCCATGGTCTTCTTCCTCACCATGTCCAACATTTCTTTGGGACAAGCCAAAATCAATGTTGCTCCTTTGTATCAGGTGACTATTCTCTTTGTTACTATTTTTTTGCTTTTTGTTTTCAGTCCTTTCAAAAATTCTAGATAGGCTGGGCAGTGGTGGCGCACGCCTTTAATCCCAGCACTTGGGAAGCAGAGGCAGGTGGATTTCTGAGTTCGAGGCCAGCCTGGTCTACAGAGTGAGTTCCAGGACAGCCAGGGCTACACAGAGAAACCCTGTCTCGAAAAACCAAAAAAAAAAAAAAAAAAAAAGCTAGATAAGCACAAATCATTTCTCACACACACATGTATATCATGTACATGATACACACATGAGAGTGTGATGTATGTATTTATGTGTGTAATATGTGTGTGTATATCTATATTTTATATATGTGTGTGTGACATTTTTCCTAGAAGTACTGGAGACTGAACCTAAGGCCTTATGCACTGATCTATAGCCCATACCTAATGGGACCTTTTCCTACTGATGCCTTTATCTAAATGCAAGGCCTTTGTGATTCCTATAATTTGCCACACATGTCAAATGTTCATTTTTTTTCTATTGGTGAGTAGTGTTCTATTGTGTACACAGATATCCCAGAGTCCACTCATCCATTCCCCATGTACATATAAGTTGTATCTAGCTTATTTGCAATTATTACACAAACTCCTGTGATCATTGTTATACAGATTTTGTTTTTATTTAGTTGTGGGTTTTTTACCAGTGCTGGGGATTAAGCCCTGGGCCTTACACATGCTAGAAATATGCTGTACTACTGAACTAGAGCCCCAGTCTGTGTATATAGGTTTCTATGTAAACTTAAGTTTCTATTTCTCTGAGGTAAAATGCCCAGAAGTATAACTGGTGTATCATATGATACAGACATTCTTTTTGTTTTGGTTTGTTTTTTCGGTTTGGTTTGGTTTGGTTTGGTGTTTTGGAAACAGGCTCTCACTATGTAGCCCTGGCTTTCCTGGAACTTGCTATGTATACATGTATACCAGACTGGCCTTGAAATCACATAGATCTTTCCCTCCTGGGCTTTCTGAGAGCTGGAATCAAAGGCCATCATGCTCAGCAGCATACTCTCCAGAAACTCCTATTCTTAGTAGGAGACATAGCACATACCCATATTCACAGCACTGAGCAGGTAGAGGCAGGAGGATCAGAAGTTCAAAGGCACCCTCAGCTACACAGTGAGCCCAGGGCCATTTCGGGATATGTGAGAGCCTGTTAATGAAAGGAGGAAAAAAAGGAAAGAGGGCTTGCTGGAGTCAGGTCCCTTCCTCCATCATGTGGGTGCCAGAGACCAAGCTCAGGCCATCGCGCCGTTCCCCACTGCGGCATCTCAGGCGTCTGTCATTTCCAACCCTGCAGCAGGATTTGAGAAATCCAGCCATTCATTCCTTGTTGGCATTCTCAAGGGCACTGCAGAGTTGACTTTATAACATTTCATAATCTAGTGTTATTTTAGTTTAGCTCTTTTCCTTTAAAAACAAAACAAAGGCTTCTCCTCCAAGCTAAGTGCTGAGTGGTACACACACTCTCCCAACTCCCACTTTCATCAATGGGCTTGTGAAAATACACAGACACCTTTTGTTGAAAGATTTCTTTACAGGGAAATGACTATCATTGGTGTTTTAGGAAGTCTCTTAAAATATTATAGTTTGTGTCTTTTTTTAAATTATTTCTTGTATCTGTGTGTGTGCGTGTGTGTGTGCGTGTGTGTGTGTGTGGTTCATGCCACGTCACCCTGTGGATCTCAGATGACTATTTCATAAAGTCAGTTTTCTGTCCACCTTTATGTGGATTCCAGAGATGAACTCAGGTCACCAAGCTTGCATGACAAGCACCTCCACCAGCTAGCTGAGCCATCTTGCTAGTCTTTGACTCCCTTGTTGAGATGGTTCCAGGATCTTTCTGTCAAATGGATATAGCACTTACTGTTGAGAGGAAGGAGAACTTAAGCTAAGATGTTCTGGAGCCACACAGGTAGCAAACCCCATGTGCAACATGCCAGCAGGTAAGGCAAGCTGAGTATAGCAGATGTGGAAACAGCTGGTAGCAAAAGGGACAGAAGAGACAGCGCTCCAGCTAGTCTAAAGGCCACAGCCACTCAGCACAGCTGACAGTGTCCAGGGTAGGACAGGAAAATGAGAAATAAGGCACATGGCAATCCGAACTGAGGGTGAACTAGTAACTATTTTTTAGTGATTTATTTATTTTTATTTTATGTGTTTTATTTATGTGTTTTGCCTGCACATATGTCTGTGTGAGGGTATTGGATCTCCTGGAACTGGAATTTCAGACAATTGTGAGCTGCCTTGTGGGTAGTGGGAATTGAACCTGGGTCCTCTAGAATGGCCATTTCCAAGAGTTGTCTAAACTATCTCTCCATTCAGCCTCCCACCACCTCCACTGTTTTTTTTTTTTGTTTGGTTGGTTGATTGGTTGTTTGGTTGGTTGTTTGGTTGGTTTTTGTTTAGTTTTGAGTTTCATGTAGCCCAGGCTGGCTTAAAATTTGCTCCAAAGTTGCTATGTAGTAGGACTGGCCTGGAATTTCTAATCCTCTTGCCTCCCCAGGTGTGCACCAACATACTTGTGAGGTGTGTGTGTGTGTGTGTGTGTGTGTGTTGTATCGCAGAGTGGCCATGAACTCTTGATCCCCTTGCCTCAAGCCTCTAAGTGCCAAGATTTTAGGTGTGTACTATTCCACCCAGCTTTCACTTATGTAGAATACAAAAACATGTCCGACAAAATGTGTCTGTGGGCTAGATTCAGTGTGCAGATACCAGTGTTCCCACCCCCCTCTGGTCCAACCCACAGAGTGCTGGACAGAGCAACAGCTCTGGTGGAGGATTGCAGAGCCTTCCACAGCCGCTTGTAGACTCCTGCTCTGGAATTTGTGATCTTAGATCTAGATCCCTGGGCTTCTTTCCCGGAGCAGTATACTTCTATCCCAATCCCAAAGACTTCCCCAGGGCTCTAGACTTCTAACCTATCCTCTAAGCTTTCTGGGACCCAGGCTCAGGACTCTATGAACCACTACCTTCTCCACCCATGTGGCTGCCTGACGGGGCATTTGTTGGCTAGTTCCACCTGGCGCTATTTTTTTTTTTTTTTTTTTTTTTTTTTTGCATGAAGTTCAAGGCCTTATCAAAGACTGGGCCAAAGGAGCCTCTGCCACTAAACTTTGTCAGTCCCACTAGCTTGTGCTGATCCTAAACACCCTTTTTACCTGGCACACTTCCCCCCCAATCCCCAGCATCAGATCTGAAGGTCAGTGCTATCTACTCAGCCCTCCAGGTCAGTCAATCAATGGGTTCAATCAACCAGGAATGAAGAACATTTGGAAAATACTACCTGTTTCACCATAAAGATTTTTGTTCCTCTTGTCTTTATTCTAACACTACTTTGTTCAAACACTACAGTATAAGCACTTATGTTGTATGAGGTATTAAAGAAGCCAGAGCTGGAGTCAGTGCTATTTTATATAAGGAATTTGGGCATCACAGATTTTCTATCTGTTGGATCCCTGGAACCACCCCCTCACAGATAATATGTGGATGTGCACACTGTCTCTAAAACTAACTGAATGGCCTGCTTGCTCCTACTCAAGGTATGCAACATCGGCCGGATCTCGAGTCCAGGACAGAAGAAAGCCCACAGTCCCTAAAGAATGAACTCAGTGTCACACAAAGGAACACACAAAGAGAAAGTAGCTTGGCAAGGCAAGAACTTTTGTAAAGGGTGAGCCAAGTCCCAACCAACCTAGTAACACACCAGGGCCAACATGGCTCCTGTCTTTTGTCCCCAACAGGTGGTGACAGTGTCTCCTCCCATCTGTGGAAGTTCTACTTCACACTCTGATGCCATTAGCTAATCAGCACAAAAGAGGCAGGGAAGGCTCAGGAAATATGAGTACTTGTTTGCTAAGTTTGATTTAACAACAACAGAATGTTTTTTACATCTACACCAAAGTTCATTGGCTATGGGGTTGCCTTGATTTGGAAGAATCCAAGGGAAAATAGAAGTTATCTTAGGGCTTCTACAGCTGTGATGAAACACCAAGACCAAAAGCCCCTTAGTGACAAAAGGACTAATTTCTTCTTACAGCTTGGAGTCCATCCAGGGAAGTTAGAGTAGGAACTGATGCAGAGGCCGTGGAGGACTGCTGTTTACTGGCTTGCTCCCTATAGCTTGCTCAGCCTGCTTTCTCTTACAGAACCCAAGACCACCAGCTCAGGGGTGTCACAGTGAGCTGGTACCATAGTAAGCGGGGGCCCTCCCACATCAATTATCAATCAAGAATGGAGAACAGGCTTGCCCACAGATCGAGCTGGTAGGGGACATTTTCTCAATTGAAAAAATTTTCCAAAATTACTGGAGCCTGTGTCAAGCTGACATAAAACCAGTCAGCATACAAGTGAAAAGTCAAGGTATGAATGAATGAATGAGTGAATGAATGACATTGAAACCTTAGGCCAGGCTGGTATTGACCAAATGAAATGTGAGGAGCAACAAAATAAAGCCGCTCTCCTCTAGGCCCAGCAACCACCATGGGGTGAAATCCATAGGCTCCAGCGAAGCCTCCTGTGTTGAAATCTCTACTCTCCACTTAGTGCCTGTACACTTACTTCCTCTGTGCTTTAAGTATCCCCGGCTACAAAACTAGGCCTTATGCCCTTAAAGCTCCTGTGAGTACTAAGTGTTAATACATGTAACTATTGAATAATACCTAGTTACATTGTTGTATGCTATATATATGTTGGTATTACTATTAAGGACACAGCAGGCCAAAGTTCCTAAAATGAAGATTTATACATTCAGAAGGGAAAACAAAGTTCTTGCAAGTAGATAGGGATGAGAGAAAAGACATAAAACTAGCCGGGCGGTGGTGGCATGCACGCCTTGAATCCCAGCACTTGGGAGGCAGAGGCAGGCGGATTTCTGAGTTCGAGGCCAGCCTGGTCTACAGAGTGAGTTCCATGACAGCCAGGGCTACACAGAGAAACCCTGTCTCAAA